AAAGGGGGGGGGAGGGATAGCACATAAGGTCCCCGTTTTAAACCCTGTGCGAACCCTTCACCTTTCCAAGGCCTAACACATTACCTTGTAGCAACCGTTCCTCTGACAAGGTCCCACGAGATACCCCGTACAAGGTGATGGGCGTGCAGCAGGATCATGAGGGGTAACCCCAGCAAGGCCTAGCACCTTGCGAGGGTCCACGTGTTCACCTTGTTTACTTCACGACCCTGTCGGGGCATCACCGAGAATACCGGACAGGGTGTCGGGCATGTACAAGGTAAACGCCATGGACCCCACCAATGGACAACACCTTACCAAGGTCCAGGCTCTGACGTTGGCATCGCTCCGAACCCTGTACAACCCCCCCACAGGGTGCCTGCAGGGTTAAACCCCCTGCCAAGGGTCCCCCAGGGGTAGCCGAGTGGCCACCGGTGCTTCTTCGGATGATGACACACTCGTCAATCTGGTGAACACCGTCAATGGCGTGTCCCAGCTGTACAGACAAGAGGTGGGCAGTTATATTCTCTTCGCGGTATTCGATCAATATTCTCGTCGCGAACGAATGAGAATGGAGAAATCATGATGGATGGTCGTCCGCTTGTGACGTGCGGCATGCCGCATTACATGTATAGATTCTGCTGCGTCTTGTTGATTGTTTCCCACCCGCGGACAACATTTGGGCAACATGCCATGCACATGTGAACACTCCTGCTCTACGACAGCAGTCCAGCGTGCTTGGGTCATACGTAAGGTTCGCGCGGATCTGCGATGCATGTGTTTGTTGGTGCTGTCCAGTCCAGAATGAGTGTACGCATGGATGTGGGTTGTGTGGCCGCACACGGGTCCGCGTGCCGGGTCCGCGTGCTGGGTCCGTTGCAGACAACACCGAAACGACACCCGTCAAAGCGCATGTGTTGGAGCCGTATCAGTAAGTGGTGAAGAAAGCCTCTTAGGTTATCGCTGCAGCAGACGTCACTTGAACCATAGACGCCTCTCTTCTCTCAGGGCCTGGTGTGCCTTGATCGTTGATGATGTGTATATGTTCTACCACACTGAAGGTCACCGTCCCTCTAGCGGACGAACTGCTGTGTCTACACGTAAACAAACATGTCACGGAATAATCTGCACAACAGCAGGCGGAAAAATATGACCTCCACGTTTTGCTATGGATGCTTCCACGCCTCTTATCTTGCCGAGGATAATGAACGGGGCAGATGGCCACAACTGTTGTTGTTAAACGAGAAGGTTGGTGGACTTGCTGTTTGTGATGGGCGTCGTGAAATCAACTGCTTTCGTTGGTTGTACACATGATGTGCGTGACTGTGACTCTTTAGTTAAGGGTAACCCGTGCCATCCGTCCCCTTGCGCACGCTCGTCTCCAAGCAGCTGCAGAGGCAACAAACAGCCTGGTGTGTTTACACGTAGCACATCACGGTCAGAGAAGCGCAGGCCTGGTGGTTACAGTAGTAAAATGCCCACTTTTGTATTGGGGATCGCGGCGAAGGTCCTCGTGTGATGTTGTGTCGCCCCTCTTGAGAGCCGACAATGGAACATACATACCCAGCCGACATGCGACCTTCCACAAGCCCTGAAATATGTTGAAACGTGTTTACTTTGGGTAGTCTTTCTGTGTGTGTATTTATTTTTCCTAGTTCACAGTTTCGGACTGGGGCTCCAAATTTGCTGAGATAAGGAAACAGATTTTGAGATAAGAAAGTTTCCTGGAAACTTCCTGCAGGCTAATATTTTTCGATTTAAGGCGGCTTCATGTGATTGGCTGTGGGACGACAGTCACTCAACGAACTTCCCCTGTTCGCAGGTACTGCTGTTTTTTGTGGTGCGCTGCACCCTGTCACGCAGCGCTCCCACTGCTGTTGAGTGTGCGTGCATGCATGCGTGTGCGTGTCTGTGTTGCCCCCTTGACGCCAGCACACGAACCCGCACCAGAACAGCGACAGGAAGTACACATACTGCCCGGCAGCCCTGTACGAAGTGCTGTGTATCGCATTTCAAGCGTACGGGAGAGGGTGTTTTTTTTGGGGCGGGGGCACATCGAAGTCAAACACGCTCTCTCAAGTAGAAGCAGGGGATACTCCTTCTTGCGGCGCGTCACCAGAAGGCAACTGCGTACTCTTCCTCCTCTCTGCCCTTTGCTGGCGGTGCTGCCACCTCCTCTACGTCGTCGGTTGCCGCGGTTCGTTCCGGCGCTCTTTCTCCCCCTTGCCCCAACCTGTGTGTCACGGGCGCGTGTTGCTGACCTAAGGCCGCGCAACAAACAACCCCAACTTGGTTTTCTGACCGTGCAGCCTCCCCCTTTCTGTGTTGGTGGCGCGCCAACTCCAGGGCCTTTGCGCTGGGCTCTGGGTTTTATTTGGGCGGCCGCTGGACATGCTCTTGCAGACTGTGTGTGTGCGTGTGGGTGGTGCCTGATGATGTGTTGTGTGTGGTGCCTGTTGTGTTATTTCAAAGAAAGCTGCTAAATCGAAAAGTTGGCAAAATTTTCCACAAAACGAGCCTCCCTCCGCTGTTAAAATCTGATTATTTTTCCCTTATCTTGGGTTCTGGCGAGACTGTCAGGAACGATCCTCAGAACGATGGCTTAACTCAAAATATATTTCCTTATTTCAGTTTTTTTTTGGTTCCGAAACTGTCAAATAATGTTTAATAAAATACATGCTGAGTACAGTCAGTCGTGGCTCCGATATAAGAGGGTGGTGTGACAGGGGCTCTTCACCCTCTTGTATCGGTAATAGAGGGTTGCCCTCTTGTATGAGGGTGCTCCATATTAGGGTACCCTCTTATAAAGGGAAAATCGGGAATCTCGAGCAACAAAGGCACTTTTGACTACGGCACAGCGTACCAAGTATGCCGTGTAGGTGTGTAGGCATGTATGTGTGGTGGACTGCTGTGAAGCACTTGTGGTGGGCTAATTGGCCGAATTCACACGCCCAAAGCAAGCCGGGTGATTGTGATCGTATCGCAACGCTGTCCGTTTTGTATTTTGTTCGTTCTTTGAGTGGGAACATAGACTATGCAGAGAATAATTGAATAATTGCCTCGCAGCCAAGTTGACGCAGCCGTTGATACTAGGAGGTAAAGTACATTATCATGCATGCATTCAAAACGCATGGTCTACAGCGTCGAACAACATGATACAATTCTTCGAGACCTCGCCGATCATGAGAAACCAACTTCATGAGTAAGTGTTGTATTGCACCAACAAACGGTCTACCTCCCCCTGGCCCCTGGCGCACAACCTATATATATTGCCCACAATTATTTAGAAGAGAACTTCGTATAGGTCTGTCTGCGCTGCAGGTTTTGAATCGTATGCTGAAAGGAACGAGAATTATGCCCAGCACAAACAGCCCCCGGTTTCTACATGGCGCCGCGATGTGTGTGTGTTCGTTATGTGTTTTATTATGCCTTTATTATTAGCGTCGACCGCTCCAACCAGCTAACCAATCAAAACACGTTAGTCTCAGCGCGGCCATGGTCTGGGACCCCATGAGGGGGCGCCATGGGGGAGGCTAAGCTACTCTCCACATTAAACATGGAGACGGTAGGAATAGAAGAAAGCTGCCGTGCTTACCCAAGGCTGCTTCTTTGCACATGTGTTCGTTTCGGAGTGCCTTCATCATCTTTGCACCATCCCCCTTGCATTTGCCCCCAGTTTCACCAAAATACCACTGTTCTTTGGCAGCTCCTCTCTGGTCTATTCTTTCTGCGGCTTTGCTGTGAGGAAGGTGTGTTATTGTGTGAGTGAATGGCCGGGGGAGCCACACCGGCGACAGTCTCTCACCTACAAGCCCCCCAATAATTTAGTGCAGTAACCCCCCTCTAAAGCGGGGTAACCCTACTATAGCGAGTCGAGTCCTTGACAACCGATTTCGACCCTCTTATTTCGGAGCCCCCTCTTGTAAGGCACCCTCTTGTAACGGAGCCATGACTGTAATGTAGTTATCACAGAGTCTAAATATTGGTTGAGGGGGGGGATTTGTAGGACAAGTGGATAATTTATCCCTCGGTGGAGATCAGCAACTGTTTCACGCAGAACGCGTGTGAGATGTTGCGTCTTTGTTTCAAACTGAGAGCATCCTGATGTCCTACAGATGATTTCTGCTTAACCGATGCCGGTGTTGTCACATTGTTATACTCCTACATATCGGCAGGAGGACGCAACGAATGAGTTAATCCGGACCTTCGAGACAAGGGATGACGACGTCTTCGTGTGCACGTTCTGCAAGTCGGGCACGACCTGGGTGCAGCAAATCATCACGCTTGTAAGTCGAGCGATACAGGAACACTTACTGTTCATCGCGAGCCTTCACTGGCTCATTACCCTTCTCGAGATACGAAGCTGTTGTCGCAAAGAAACGAATGGGCATTGCACGGTGCCTTCGACCCGGAGATCGTGGAGTATCCTTGACGAACACAGCACCAGAAACAACGCATCTTGCTTGGCTCCGCGGCATTACCTACGCTCGGTGCCACCCCAACGTATAAACTACGCTGGTGTGCCGATGTTCGTTCTGGCGCCCGTAACTCGTGATCCTTCCTCCTCACTCGTGGTGCATCCCTTGGTGTCATGTCATGGAGGGCGGACCATGGTGTTCCCTTAGGCTTTTTGTTGGTTATGAACCCCGTGTGTTGACGTTGCTTGCTGCTATATTTATGTTCGATGCCCTTAGCAGCGCTCTACGCGCCCCTCTTGAGAGCTGATAATGGAGCATACATACCCAACCGACATACATGCGGTCTTACTAAATATAATTTGTCGGGCACGTTGTCAACACACCCGGTGCACGGGGGCAAGGCGAGTTTCCCACCTTTTTTCGAACCCACGTCGTGCCAGCGGCAGTCAATATCGTGCGACAGCATCAAGCTACAGGCATTACACGGTTTCCGCGTTGTGCGGGTCGATTGTGTTGAAAACGACAGAACGATCGTGTTCCACTCAAAAATCGCCTCGTAAAGGGTGTTCCGTTTTGAAAATCTCAAAGATGTTTTTGCACATATGTTGCAGGCGTTGAGTGGAAAATGCTCTTCCTACTAGATGTATGGATTTTTTAGTACCGAGAGCCATCCCGTCCCCAATGATTTGCCCAATGCTTGGCTTCCTCCATGCGTAGATCCGACCTCAAACGCTCGCAGCTCTGGTACTCACCACCGTGTGACGAAAGCAGTTTCGTGTCGCGGTCGAGTGCATGATTGGAGGTACATAGACTCGTGTTTCTTCCCCATTTCCTAGGGCACCGACGGAATAAAAGTAAGCGTGGGAGAGCGAGCACATACGTGTTGTTCGATAGCAAGACGTGGCGTGGTTGGAAGTACGTTCGAGTCCCTTTCGTATCCCTCTCGCTTTTCAGACATCGGCCTTGTGCTGATCGTATTCTCATGTGCCGCTTCGTGTCATGCCCCGCCGAACAGCTGCTCAACGGGGGTGTCCAGGGCGAGAAGACTTACAGCGAGACCGTTCCGTGGTTGGAGTGGCTCACGTTCAAGTTTGCCGAGAACGACGGACCAGCCGTCCGATACAAAGAGGTAGAACACCCGATAGCATGCGCTGCTGCCGAAGAATACCCACGCAAAACACGCGATGCTTTTTTTTTGTTTTCATTGACATGTCCAGGGGAGCTAGAAGGCTAATTCGACGTAAACGTTGAAAATTACCACGTGGATACACGGTAATGCATCGTGGACTGGATGATCAGTAGGGAGAAAATAGTGCGCGAAAAAACTAGAAACGCCTGATCCCATCCTTGTCCCGTTTGATACCCTTCATGATCTCGTTGAAACTGGCATAGGGCACATATTTCGCTATTTTTCTGTTTTTCGTGTGAGCGGGGAGGCGGTACGCTTGTTCCACACGGTGGCAGGCTGAGCGTGTCATTTGAGATTGGCCAACTAATCAAGTTGAGTTGCTCATTTGGGCTTCACTTTTATTCAACAGGCCCAGAACTGGACTCTCGACAAGCTAAAATCGACCCCGAACAGGCGCTTCATGAAGTCACACGCCAACCTCACAGACCTTCCCGTGGGGTCGGCTATGGGGCTCAAGGTCAGACAAAATATCTATCGTCGTTTGGCTTTGTACGTTTCACGACGAGATCAGTAGACCTTCGATGGCCTTGGCGGTGGGAATCTACGCATACATGTCCAATACACGTTTAGTGTCATGCTCACGCGGTTTTCGCCCGCCAAGGTTGACACTTCGGATGAAAAGCTATCGGCACAGGCGCCTGAGTCGTTTATCGCAGAACACGTTCTAACAGTATTTGTCGGTGAGCGCATCAGCACGACTTTCCTGCGCCTTTCACGCCTCCAAGATATGTTTTCTTTTGCTCCTGGTATGTCCTGATCACCGGCTTTCACTGCGGGAGAAGTGTTGCGCCTTCCTTGTATATGTTCGGCTGCGTGTGAAGCAGCAAACGTCATGGGCGGCCAGCCTCTTGCCTTCTACTGTTTTCCCCTTGGGTTTGTTTTCCCCTTGGGTCATTGCTGTCTCCTGGTGCGCTACATTTCTTCCAACACCTTGGATCTTGCTTCTGTCTGACCTGCGTATGCAGGTGATCTACGTCGCACGCAACCCTAAGGACGTGGTGGTTAGCCTCTACCACCATATCAAAAACAAGTGCCCGCACACGTTCAGTGGGGATATGTCGGACATGATCCGTTGCTTCGTCCAGGGCAGGTGAGAGCACATTTCCTCTGGGGTGTACAGGAGCATAAATCCGTGCACACAGCCCGCGCCACGGCTGGGTCAGGTCAGGTTCGGGGTTAGGAAATGGATCACACCAAAAAAATTGCAATAGGCAATAAGCGCAAGGAATTTGAATTTTTCCCGATCAACGGTCAGCAGTAGATAAGGTCACTAGTGGCGTCTGCTGATTTGCCAGATTGTGTATCAGTTGCGATCGCTTCTCAACGTAATTGCACCATGTTGTGCCAGACGTTGGCCGGGACGGAGAGTGGGGTCTTGGTTTTCATCCGTTCTTTACGACGCTCAGAGGCTTTCGGTCCCCGCCCTGCTCCGTGCGTGTGACTCCCCGTTATTGCTCTACGTCTCGAACGACAGAGAGATGAACGGTCCGTGGTTCGACCACGTCTTAGAGTGGTGGGAGGCGGCCAACGCCGATCCCGAGCACATCCTGTTCTTGCACTACGAGGCCATGCTGGCAGAGCCACAGGAGCACATCCGGAAGATCGCCGACTTCGCTGGCATCAAGCATACGCCAGATATCCTTGCTAAGGTGAGTGTTACCACTTAGCTAACGTGTCTTGCATGGTTTCGCATCGACGTTCATCACCATCCATGAGCGTACTCCGGTCTTGACAATTCTGGTGGGTTTTGCGTAGGAGTATAGAAACCATATTCTACGGGTGTACTGAATGACCCGGCGTTCGTGTGGCGTTGAGTGTAGAAAATACAGGACGATGATGTGTTGATGGGTGCTACATATGCATAGAAGGCTGACTTGAAGAAGGTTTCCTTGGGTGCTGCAAGCAACAATGTTTCGATCCCAATGATGATTGATTCCGAGACACACTATATACGACAAGCACCACAATATTCGTGATTTAACAGCTCCTTGTTGCGTCCTATTGATGAACCTAAGTTAATTCAGAACGTTGACTAACGCTGGGCCCTTAATACTCTCGTCGCCTTGCGTTTCATCTGTTTCCCCCGCTTCGTTTCCTGGCGCATGTGTTGCTGGGTCTGGCCTTCCGCCTCCTATATGTCGCCAACCTATCGCGTGCTCCACTAGACGGCCGCGGCTTCGTCTCTGTCATCCATGAAGCAAAACCCAAAGGCCAACATATACAACTCCAAGAAGCACCTCCGCAAAGGAGGAGCGGGCGGGTGGCGAGACGCGTTTACCAAGGTGGAGTCGGAGGCGTTCGACCGGATTTATGAAGAACAAATGGAGGGGTCAGGTCTGCAAATGGATTTCGGAGACGGGCTGATCAAATGATCACGCAGCAGCTTCGTACTGACACTGTCGTTGACGACAGTGTTTTGACAAAATATTCTCCAACCCTGTGATTCTCGCGATGCCTGCCACGCAAGAAACCTTGAACGTGTAATCTTCTTGCCGCGAAGGTAGACTCTCGACGGGTTGACGCCATGTGCGGGGTCGGGCTGTGATGCCTTCATCCTGTTTGCTGGAGGCATGCAATAGTCAGCCAATGTTGGAATTCATTGGTTCCTTTGTGTTAACAAGTGGTTTCACCACAACATGGATGCCGTTGTCAGAACTCGTTATTTTTGTCATGCACAATCAATTTGTCACCTCACCGCTCGAGCTTTGGCCGACGTTTGTTGAAACTGGTCCCTGTCAAGTTGCTCGTGTGACCGGATCATCAGAACCGGGCAGCGGTTCGTAGGGTTAGCATTTTTTTTGCAGCTGTCGTCGAAAGAACCTAGTGAGTTAATAACCTGGGAGAATGGAAGTCAGTCGCCCTTTTTGCAGAAACCGCTCGAGATATTTTGGAAGCTAGAAAGAGGCGGCACTGACGGCGCACAACCTAGATTAGAAACAGGTTAGGTTGTGCCATGACTGCATGTCCGAGATGATGCTGGGAGTTGAGGGGATAAGTTGGAATATTCAAGGAAAAATTGTTGACGACGGTACCTGGACTCTCGGGTCTTGGCTGACGAAAGGCGGACACTGCCGTAACACTCAAGGGGCGAAGGAGGTTCATAGTCGATTGTTCGAGAGAGGCACCAATAAGGGAAACAGAGCCCAGCTAATGTGCAAGCCCTACTAAAAGTACATTGACATCGTGAAGAGGGAACCTTGGCTTCCCGAGAGACAGACATACACACCGGTACACCAATGCATATACCAGTGCAAGACGGCGAACGTAGTCATGCATTCTTAAAGTAGGTGCCCATCAAGCGACCAAGGCATAAATGTTTCGGGGGGTTGAATATATTTTTGAGCTCGACGCGACAGTTCACAATCTTGATGGGCCTGCTGCCTAGGGGGGTTCAAAATCGATACCAGTGAACGGAACGCGGAAGATAGGATCATGGAAAGGAATGCCCATTCCCAGGCGTAATCTAGACAATGGCTCTGTTTGTGCGGAATGTATATGGTACTAGAATTTGTGCCATTAGGAGGAAACTGATACGCAAGGTGCGATAAAGGCGGGGTGTGGTACTTCTTGGTAGGGCTGAGATGTTCTTCTGTTCTTGTTGCGATTCGGCGAAACATAGTCACAATAATAGATATGTACGTCAATCGGCCGGCAGCGTGGGGTGCTTGCCTACATCGCCGGCATGTGTTGACTGGAAACCTGCAAAGGTCGCTATCTCGTTTCGTTCGTTCCCAAGGCATGGTAAAGGGAATATGATTGTTGGGTGCGTTCTGTTTCTGGGATTATTTTTTGTGTTCCGTTTTGGTGGCGCAATATCTGGCAGGTTTTAATTAATTCCACCGGTAGCCCGCCAGCTTTTCTGGGGGAGAAAAGACGGGCTTTTACATACTCAAGTCACATCGATCGGTCATATTTGTCCCGGTCGGCACGTAGTGTGCTGTGATGTCATGTAGGGTGTAATTCTCTGGTGGTTTTGTCTGTGTTTTTTTGTGATATGACGACTTTGGCGGAGGAGGAGAAACAAAAAAACGAGAGGAGATTACCGGCATCGCCTACCAGGTGGTAGTTTCACGGCCAATGCGGGAAATTACCCGCGTGGCCTTCGGAAATCTGCATAGACTTAACTACAATTCTGTCGGAGGCCTGAGACGCAAGAGTTCAACCATTGTTGCACTCTACAAGCAAGACGTTTTTTTTTCGGTGCATCAGTTCGCGGTCGCCTTGAGACTATTTTTTTCGCCGGCTGTTGCCCGCTGCAGCGGGCCAGTCTGGATCACAGCGCCCCTGTCGCGAGCTCGAAACTCCAAAGGTGAGTAGAGTTACAGCAGCACGGTGAACGCACGCAACCACTTTTTCAGTCATTGAGCTAGACGTTGCGGTGAGGTAAATAAATCGGTTTTAATTGTTTTTATTTAAATGGGGCTTGAACATTTTTTTCGGCCGTCTTCGCCGACGTGGTCACGATCACGGCGCCCCTGTCGCGAGCTCTAGACTCCAAGGGCGAGCTGAGTTGCAGCACCGTGAAGTACGGCTAAATGTCCTGCATCCGGGCGCGTCTACGCAAGGGACTTCAAGGGACTGTGATCTCTAAAGAATCACGCAGCTCATTGGACGAGATTTCCACATACTTGGAAGTACAAGCAACATGTAGTACCTAGCACAGGGTTTTTGCCGCATGATCTCATCTGTAGATAGATATCAACAGACTGTCCGTACTGTGTGGTATGCGTTGTAGATACAGTACAAACAGTATTGCATGCATGCATCCTGTCGCCTTCTCTACCGTAAGCATCGCGAACTGGAGCATGTGCATGGTGTATTGTCACCGCACGGATGGTTACGTACTACCGTTATATGCCACACACACCCTCCAAGTTGCACATATTCTACAGCTGTAGCAAGGAAGAATGGACAAATATGCAGAGCACCCCATTGTGCAATCTTGTAGTCACCGTTTCAAGGACAAAACTCAAGGCTGCGTGCACCTGTATGTAACACGTGCAGCTGCAGCGCGGCAGGCGAACTCCACTGGACTATTCAGTACGAGAGGCTTCGATCTGGGTACGCAGGAAGTCCGAACGAGATTGACATGTTATACTATGAAGAGGTAAATTTACAAGTTTGGTTGGTAGGAATGTAGATAATGCAGGGAGAGACAGTCGGGAGAGGTCTGCAGAGAGGCAAAAATCCCCAAAGAGACAGAGTGTGTGATGAGAGGACACCATTCTCCAAATCACGGAATGACACCTATCCAGCAACCTCAACGAATCACGCGTGTTCAGATTACGAAGAGGGAAGCTGATACGTTACTGCAAACATGAGTTCAACATAATGCTTGAACTTGCGATGTATGCACTTCAAGAGTCTAGCTTTCTTCACTGACGCACGACCAATTACAAATAAAGCTTCAACAGCTGAAGTACGTGCAAATTCGGCAGCCGAGTGCACACAAATATTGAAAATTTACGCAGGTACCTGAGTTACATGTCACCGCACATCTCCTTCAATTAACGCAAGTCTAGGTTACTTGCAATGTCATTACGTCTCTGGAACTAGACTACCATGGTATGCACTAATACCGTCTGCATACATCGAAACAGCTCACCAACTATTTGTGTCTTCTTCACAAGTGTTCCTTATTATTCCGTGAATGACAACAGACAGGGAAATCGTACATGGTTTAGAGATGTACTGCAAAAAATTGCCGCAGTCATGCTGACTACCTGACGCTCAAGCTATGGCGGTACCAAACGTTACAACACAGGGGTGAAGGCATGTGTGACGCAAGCCCGACAAGACCAACGCGCTAGCGGTACGTAGTGCCTCACCGAAGGCTCATCTAGAAAATAACAAAATTAGAGTGAACAACCAACGAATTCAATACAAGGGTATAAAAGCGGAAACACACGCACCGTGTCGTCTGTCTTCTCCCCCCTCCTCCCATCTCCTTCCCTCTCCTTACCTACTTGCCCTTACTTGTGCGGGCAGCCTCGCCCCCAAACAAACTACGCCTACCTATCATTTCCTTCTCGACCGACGCCTTTGCGTCATCCAACACTAAAGGTGAAGTCCGTTTGCCTACTACACCAATGAACGCTGTCCCCCTTGCACGAGGTTCTCTATTATTAACCCATCTAGCCCTTCGATAAATTGTCGGAACGGGTGACACCCGAGCTGGAGTCACCACTGGAGCCCACCACAAATATGAATGGTAACCATGTCTTACATACCACAATGGCCCGATTCCCTTGCGAGGACCAAAACTAACCTCCTCGGGATGTGGCATTGTTGATTTTTGGCCGAGTGATACAGTCGGTGCCTTCTTAGGACCGGCTGCACAACGAGCCTATACACATCAACAAATTCCCTCACAGGTTGTGTGCAGAACACGTATGGAAACAAAACCAGGTGACAATGATCACATATACTTTACAGGTTGAACTGCAAGGCCGCCCAACAGAGTCGAGATAGCCATCATCACGACTCCCTCTCGCTGCCTCCCATACCCCCCCGTCCTTCCTCTTCACATTCTTCAGCCGTCCAACCCGATCACGAAGAAGAGGGTACAGTTTTGTCTGTTGGATGAACAACATCAACGTCCGCACGATCAAGCTCTTCGGACATCAAACTCTCCACAGTCAGCGTTCTCCAGGCCATTACTCCCACTACAACTAGGGCCAGTGCGGACGCGCAGAATACCAAGTGGTAATCGACCCAGCCGCCGAAGGCTTCGAGGGTGGAAGGCGACACAGACCAGGCGTACGTGGTGGCGTAGCCGACTGGGCCACAGAAACGGCCGAGGCTCTCCGCAGTGTTGTAAAGCCCGCCCAGCTTCCCTCGCATTCTGGATGGAACCAGGGTGGTAGACCCGAGCGACAGTGCCAGCGAAATCTGTTCCAATTTCGTGTTGGTTCGAACAAAAAAAATCGTGCTGCTCAATTTCGGGTGCCATGCATTACTCTGTTTTCCACTGCTGGGGGGGTGTCAAGGAATCGAAATGGCTGGATCGCTCAAAGTCCTTCGATCCTCGAGTGGTATCGTATCCGTAAGTCGAGTTCGTCGAAGGCCCACAAGATCGCGATCAGTCGAAGACAGCCGGAGCTGCGTCATGGAGGTCAACTGCCATGGATCGCACTGCGGTTTTAACGGCATAATAATCCGACAACCGGATAAATCCGTGGATTTCGGGTGTCAAGCGTGGCAGATACATAGCAAGGAAGTAGGCTCTACTGCATCATCAACTCGAAACGGTGGCTTCAAGTGGCGGAAATCCCTGTGAAGATAAACGCATTCCAAAATTGCTTGTGTTACGCTGTGGGTAGGGACCCATGTGCTCTCCCTGACTTTCACTCACCGACCCGAGACTGCACATGATCAAATTGTTGGCGACCACCGACAGAGAGAAAAGAGAATCGTAGTCCCAGCCGATTGACGTAAGCCCTGGGACGGCCAGGAAGGCGGCGACACCCACTCCGCAGCCAAGGCGCTGAAAGTATGTGATGCCGACCATCTTGATGAAGGGGGGGAACAACACGAGCTGGCAGACTGCCAACAGCAAGCCTGCCACGACCATCACCTGGGCGTGCCGGGCAAACGCCGTGCGGTAGTGTTGGATATCGTATCGATTCTTTCGATATATCGTATCGATTTATCGTATCGATATCGGATATCGAAAATATGTGAACTTTTCGATATTTCGATATTTCGATGTTTCGATATCGATACGATAAATCTATGAAGACTCCACGGAACCCCCGATGTTCCACACGGAACCCCCACAGCTGCACAGCACACAGCACACAGCAGCTGCACCCAGTGAAATGCGCGCATTCAACGAAGTAGCTGCAGCTACTATTCATTTATCTCTCATTCTTGTGCCATTTATCTCTAATGGTTGTGAGAGCTTGGTTTTTCTGCGACAGGCAACCTTGCTTTTTTTTGTTGCGGCGTGCGAAACCGCTGATCTTTCTTAAAGCAGTAGTGTAGAATAACCAACTGATGAATATGATTCTCATTTTTCGGTGTAGATAATAGATAGACTATTACCCACGTACATATTGTTTTTTCAAGCAGTTGGCTGTACACTGACGGCAGGTTTCGGAGGCCTATTTTCGGGTAATTTTGATGGGAAATAAAGCGAAATTGCTCCAATTTTTTTGCCTCCGGCGGCGCCTCCAGCGGGGCCCCCTCACCAGCCGGGGGGGGCTGCTTGGGCTCGCACAGCGAGCTTTGGCGCCTTCGCGCGTCAGCTCACTGTGCTCGCCGGCTCGCTGCGCTCGCCAATATCGATATCGATATCGATATCGAACACTTCACGGGCGATATCGTATGGAATCCATTTATTGAATCGATATGCAACACAACCGTGCGGGTAGATGGTCAACCTTACAAAGCTTAGGCCGGGGCACGACAACGACGTTTTTGGGTTTCAAAACCTGCCGTTCGTTGAAATGAGTGGTGAAAACCTGCGAAAGAGTGTTTGTAGTTGTCGCTTCTCGAGCAACAACACAATCAATTAGTGTCATTGCGTAATGCAAAGCGATTTCAATCAAGTTGTAAACTAGCACCGAAAAAGATTGAACGTCCTATCTTTGTTGCGCCGTCTACTGCAAGGCAGAGAGCTTGGGCTTGGGCTCATTGAAATCTTCGTTCTTGGAAGTAAACAAGCGGCTGATCGAAAAATGCCATTTGATTCAAGCTTTGCCGACCGGGTTGGTCGGCCTTTGAATGCACGGCGACCACTGTCGCGGGCGGGCACCTGCCGTCTGTCTGCTTCATTGCCTTCTCCGCCTCGTCACTACTAGTTGTGATCGTGCCTGGACTCAACGAAGCGTATGAGCCGAAAACCTCACTTCAGGAACGCCTTTCACACAACAAGCAACCAGCGTCCAAGCCGGCGTGTGTCCGCACCCACATCACAAACACTCGCGGTGAATTATCACCTGTCCAATCTGCACTGTGTTCCAGCCAAGTCCTCCGACGCTGGGAGTACTTAGCGCGTACAGAGGGTACACCTCGTCGAACCCGATCGCCAGGGTCTGATGTAGACAGCATTCGACGTGTTGAGTTGAGTGCGATTAGATCGGATGCACATGGAACGCGGGGAACAGGAGGAGGGCACGACAGGACCTTCAGGATCGTAGAGACAAAGGAGCACTTTCATTTGGAGAGCTGGTACCTCCCGCTATTTAGGTATTTCGTTTCTTGGTCGCATTTTGTTTCTTCGCCATTTCTTTGGCTGCTCGAGATCAGCCAAGCCAAGATGCCAATATCTTTGTGTGTGCGCGGTCACGACGTGACAACGCGTAGGTTGATTCAGCAATTGTAGAATTTTTCAGCATCTTGGCAATCCGAATACGCACACGACAGCAAAGGGGCGTATCATGTGCACAAAAGTTGCTGGTTCGGGATGTGGTGCTGGGTTCGCCATGAGTAGCTCGCAGCCTGAAAGGTCAAGTGAACTACCAAAGAGGTAAACATGTGCTTGTAGCATGTACATCAGTATCGTGTTTTTGCAAGAAAAACCATCACTTTTGTGAAAAAGGCGATACATCAGGAAGTCTCCAAAGAACGTGACCGCAGTTTCGCTTGTTCAATCCCAGCAATTTTCTCTGACTGGAACAGAAAATCCTCACAACCGCACATAATTCGCCATGCAGGACGCGCTAGAACATGTAGTAGAGGGGGTGCCCTCACAACCGTTATGTCGTGGCCGTGAGACCATTGACCTCGCATCCCTACAAAGTCGGCCGGGTTTCACCGGACCAGGCTAGCACATCACCAAGCGCCAAGTGCTGTGAGGTATTCGGCGAGTCGCATGGAAGGTGCGCTGCATCCTGCTAAGGGTGTTCGGCATCTCGCGCATACGGATGGAAGCTGTGAATGGCTTCATTTGTTTTCTGGTGCTTTTCACTTCCAGAGACAGTTACAAGCACTGTGTAACTGCGTCGAGGGTGCTTGGCCAATTGAACCCAACGTGGTGCGATCATCCCCTTTACGCGGATGAAGGTTCTCGACCCCGCTCAACATGCTCTAAGCAACCACTATTAATGTTACCGCAAAAACAAAAAACGGAGACTAAAAAGCCGGTAAATATAGTTGTCGAGCTCACGAAGCGATCGGCGTTTTTTCAACGATGTTGCGACAAGAACCCACGATGGGCGGAGGGGGGCGGGCTGGGTTCAGTATCCGTTTGTCCCAATATCTGGTAGGTGTTGTTTAAAGAAAACACGCAGCGACCGCGCGTCCAAGCGAAGGAACCGCAACAAGGCACTTTTTCCGGGCGATGACCTCGACATCGTTTCGAAATGCTAGCTTTCCCAGAAGGCGAACGGAAGGAGGCGAGAGGCACAGCGTCTAGTCTTGCGGCTACATATATGCTTCACGCCTTGCCGAAAAAGCCAAGCCTACTCTTATCCCCTCCAACACCACACTCACCGCGATTATACACCCGAGGAACAGGACAAGCTTGACGTGCGGTCTAGCCAGCAGGCCTCCTGGCCCGAAGAGACCCTGCTCTTCGTCTCCCTGCTCGGCGGCCGACAGCTCGTCGGTAGCGCAAGTGCTGCTCTTGCTGCCGTCCGTTGTCTTCTCGGCTGCGGAGGCAGGGAAGGAGGCGTCACCAGCGAGGGGTTCCTGGCTGAGATGCTGGTACAACGGCGCCCCTTCTCCTTTCTCCCGCCGGTCGATGTCAGCACCATATGGCAGCTTCTTCTGCCTCCCCTGTTGTTGCTGCTGCTGCTGTTGCAAGTGTAAGCTCGGCGATTCAGTGGGATTCGTTGAATTGATGGCACTTGTGGAGGAGCCGCAATTTTTTCTGCTGCTTCGTCCCGGGCTTGCAGAGGGAGACCGTCGGGGATCGGTGCTGGCAGTCCGCACCGAGTCTCTGCTGAACCTGAAATCACGATACAGAATCGCACGGTTTGCAGGCAAAACAAAAACACATTATTACTGAAGTACGATACGACAATAATATTGTCGCATGACCTGGCACTTCCTCTTTTCAGCGAAGGACTCCGACTATACTTCCGCGACGCCTCATGTGGACTCTCACGCAAAGATTTTCCATGGGAAGCTTATGGCAGATCTTTCACCGCAGCCGAAAAAGCCGCCTGAAACCGGGTTCTACCAGTTTTCGCGTGGAACAAGTGCAAGCTTTCCAAAAGCTTTACTTTCCACGGCAATCGGACAACTTCCGAAAGAAGGTTGCAAATACCACGCTCCCAAAAGTGGTACGCCCTACCGCCCCAACTCCGAGACGTTCACAGGCAAGCGACAGGTTGTGTTTCCGCCGCACAAGGATTTGGGTAAGGCTGGAGCGTACGTCAGTTACTGGGTTGGCGTACATCCGGTCGGCGAGATGGTTTAGCTTGGGCCGGGGTTCCGGGGCGGCGGAACTGTCAGAAGGCGTCCGCCACGAGGCACGAGACAAAGTTGAGAAAGCTCCGACATTCGCGTTGGAAATAGCGAAATAACCAAATGGGAAACTAGAGAGCCGGGAAGCCAACCACGGGATAATGTTGTAGTGCCAATCTGAATGTTTTGCCCCAGGTTCGGGTCGCTCAACATGTCTTGCAGAGAGCTTTGTTCAGTCATTGTGAAGAGTATTCCCGGTACATCGAATCGAACCAACGGCCTCTACCTCAAAAGAGGCTTCAGATAGAAAAGTGAGTACACACAGCTGCACACAAGACAAACATTGTACGAAAACGTGTGCACGAACTGGACACCTACGGAGGTGCTGCGTCTCCGTAAATAATGCGCTTCCTGTCATCAGATAGTCACGTCATCTCAGCACCTTGTGCATCCATCTTGGTGAAAAAGACCAATCCCACCTGCCGCGTGCCGTTATCCCAGGAATCGTTACTAACGGGACGGATGACAGAAATGTCGTCACGGGGTTGTTTCAAACCAGCTATTGTATCAACGATGGCCTTAACTCGCAAAACGTACCACATACCGGAATCTTGCAGTGGGACAGCCCCAAAGGACCCGGGTTGTTGTGCCGATTATCGTATCTTCTTTCTGTCTCCCTCAACCCACGTATCTGATCAAGTATAACTATCAGTCTATCTATCACTCTGTTCTTCTTTCTGTCTCCCTCAGCCCACGTTTCATATCAATAGTTATATCCCTCAGTCCATCTCTTCAGTCTATCACTCAGTCCACCTCTCTCTCTCTCTCTCTCTCTCTCTCTCTCTCTCTCTCTCTCTCTCTCTCTCTCTCTCTCTCTCTCTCTCTCTCTCTCTCTCTCTTTCCTCTTGATGCAAACGGGCTTGTTTTAACCGGCTTCACCTGCGCTTGTTGTAGTCCTTGGTCTCCGGGAGGTAAAAAATCACGAGGAAGAGGGCGAAGACCGACAGCACAGCCCCCACCAGGTTCGGGAGCAGGAACGGGTACCTTTCGTAACAGTGCGGGATTATTGAGGTTTGCACTTCGACTCGGTTGCACCGGAGGCCACATCGATCCCCAGTAACCATCGTCACTTGGAGCTTCGACAACGCACACGTGCAAAGCCAGTGTTTCGTCTCACTGGTTTGCGAACAGCGGCAGGAAGCGGCAGTCACCGGTCCTACTACTTGGTTGCCGGGAAGGAAAAGGAACACGCTCAACGTGTCATCCTCGAAATAACAAATGCACCTAGAACACAGAGCCTCGCCTCCGATCGAATGTTGTGAGGCGAAAACCGGACCGTTTCTATCGCTCAGTCGGATCTGCGCTAGTTAGGGGGTTTTCCCAAGAAAATGGGTCACCTTTCGGGGCACGGCATGCATTGGCTTGGGGAGGCGGACCACAACAACTCGCAGCAAAGGGTGCTGAACAGAACAGAGTCCGAAAGGGGGGTCACAGGCGGCATTCAATATCCATGCTACCCTTGAGAGGGGGGGGAAAGACCATCACACTCTATATAGTGAGCTGGTAAGTTTGACGGGTGTACGGGGCGGGTTGGAACCCTCTGCTTGCTAACAACGCTCACATGGCGAAAAGGCCTGTGGGCGAGAAAACGGTCGGGTAGTGGAGCGCTGGTTGTGCCAGTAGACCGCCGATTCCCGTGCCGATCACCATGCTGATGGCCCTAGTACCTGTAGTACGCGAGGAACATCGTCAGACCGGAAGAGAAGGTATGCGTATATCAACTGAGTCCCCTGCAAAACCAGCGTCGTTTCGATCGACCGAAGCGGGAATACAAACACGAATGCAGACTACGGATTTCAAAGTAGGAACCTCCCCACGCATGAAAACGAGAATACTACCGAAGAACTACATGGACAAAACGAACACAATCGTGAACAACCAGAGGCGTAGCATCAGGGCGTGGACAGATTTAACGTCTGGGAAACAATATGAAAAGATCTTGACCAACATGCATACACGTACGAGCACACTATACTAAACCATGTACTCACCGCTGATGTACGTCATCCCTAGATGGGCGCGTCGGGACCGATGGGCGGAAAACGGAAGCCGAAAACAAGGGACGTCGTTAGACAGCGGCGACTGAAGAGGGGTCGCGTATAAGCGTACGTGCGAACAACTCGCCAAGACATGTAGGTTCCACATCAAACCATCCATAATGTCGAAAATATGGAAAACGCGCATCAACAGGTGTCCTCCAGGATAGAGAAACAAGAGGGGAGCGTTGGTGTGTGCAGGGAAAAACCGAAAAAAAACTGCATCAGACTATGCTCGAATCACAAGTTACACAACGGCAAATAACACGCCGACACGTGAGAAATCAATGTTTGCGTTGGGTAACGGCTATCGTTCTGGACGACGCTTCTTGCAGGGCGCGCAAGCAGGACATCCCCAGTAAAAGTAGCACGCTGCTTGCCTAGAACGACGTGCTCGGGCCCGCAGACCTCGCTCAACGATGTCCGAAGAGCCGGCATGATGCCGTTAGTCAGTCCAAGGATAAACCTGCATGCAGGATCGGCATGAACCACCAGCAAGTCGGACAAAAGAACAGCTATGCATACGACCTCTATCAGGAAGGTGGTGCCGGAAAAGGTATGGATTTAGGAAGAGGTGTGAAGGGGGGGGGGGGGGGGGGGGCTCGGGTTCCCAACCCTTACTTGCGACAAGAAAACGTGTCATTACTTGCCCTGACGGCTCATGTGTTCCGCAAGCATGTCAGGGGGCACCCTGACGGGAATAGCGAGCTTCTCACGGAGGGCAGGAACGGCCGGACAGCTTTTCAGCGTGCCACGATTCACATGGTGTCTACACGATTCCGCAAGCGTTTTCGAATGGACAAGCCGCAGTTGGCAGTAGCGAAAGGAACATCAGCAACAACAGGCGCGTCGATATTCCACAACTACCGGAGCAACCCAAGACAAACCCGACAACTATTTCCAGATGAAAGAAGGCGAACCTCGTTGTGATGGCCATAGAATAGGTCTCGGACATCCCGAAGATCATGGAGAATATCGTGATCGACAGCAGTCCTATGATGATCACCGGTTTCCTTCCGATGATGTCCGTCGCGGACCCCCAAACGTAGCCGCTCAAGAACCGGCCGAACGTGAACGAGCTGGCCACGTAGCCGGCGTAAAAACCTGGGTTCGTTGTTTCGTTTCAACCCCCCATGGCCCAAGCGTGGGCAGCACACCAGCGCCGCACGGGGAGACGCACAACGGGTGGAGGGATGGCATACATGCGAGGGTGGTCGAGAATAATGCGGGATCTGTTGGCGGCGCCGGGCGCTGCGGGGAAGCAAGTGCGCAAGGTATGCGAGGTGGGTACCTTCGGCATGCATGGCCGTAGGGATGTGCGAGAGAGTGTCGTGTGTGTGAGGCGGGCAGAGATCGCCGATGCCTTGATCTCGTGCTACCCAGCAAAGAGTGGGGGTCAGGCATGGCCGATAACTCGGCGGCTAGGTACAGGGATGGATCTGCGCGTGATGTGTGTGTGCTTGTGTTTTCGTCCTATTAATTATGGCGTGTACGTTCTTAATTTATTGGTGATGTTCGATATTTCTTGCTTGCAATCTGAGTTCGCTGAAAGGCATCGCGAATAGGTGGGCGCGATTGGGTAGATTTGTCTCCATCCCTTGTTCCTCTTTGATTCTTCGAAATATTCGCTCGGCGGGGGAATCTGAGATGGCTTGCAACCACAGGAAGGCGTCTGCGTCAGGTGAACCCGTTTCGGATGCTAGCTAAGACAACAACAACACGTGCATCAGGCAGGCAGGCAGTCGCTCCACACAAGCGTAAGACACATCAACTGACGAAGCGCACAGATCAACGTGAGGGGAACGGGAAACTAGGTCATCATCACGCGTGACGTAGCGTTTTGACGGTAGACGTCGCATTGCTACAGGGTCAAGATGCAACACATACATAAAGTTGTCGCCCCATTTCTCTCCATATGCCCCATCGCCGCGCACTGTCGCCACTCACCAACTTCATTCATTGTTTCGAGCTTCAGGAGAGTCTTTACCAAGGTGCCGACGTACGGGAACAAGTTCACCAGAGCGTACATGTTCAGCGTCATGCAGATTGCCAGTATCAGCACCTGAAGCAGAAGAGGGGGGCGTCACTTTAGGACAAGGGTTAACCACAAGAGGCAAGTATCGAGGAGATGTGTTGAAGTCTTCTGAGTCTTGACGGAGACCAGGACTTCAACATGTAGAATACTGGTGGTCAAGAGGATAAAAAACAAAACAAGAAGAGCCTGAAATGAAGGTATAACGTATTGGTTTATCACGAGAGCAGCTTCCTACCAGCCTCATTTTTTTTTTCCAGTGAGTTTCGCAAAAATCTACTTGTGATACACCGCACCTCGACTAAAAGACATTTCGAAAAATTAAACCTAATTGTAGACATGTTGCGGCCACGAAAAGCGTGCACAATTTTCAAAATGCCGTCAGAGCGCGTCTGATCAATAGAAGCGAGGAAACCTGTGAGAGACATGGCAAAGCTTCTGTCAACAACAAGCGTCAAGCCCATTGCAAAAATGTCGAACCTACGTTTTTTCGAGGCATTGAAAACACCAAATATCGGGCATTTTTGCAGCAAAACAGAGTCGTCTGGACGACATCCTGTGGACGCGGGAGACATCGTGTCCCCACAGCATCATGCGGGCGCAGGGAAATATATATATGGCGTCTACACAGCGTCGTTCGCCAACGACGTCAAGCCCTCGAAGCCGCGCGCAAAGAAATGCGTGTTCCTCTCGAGCTCCTCTGTTCCTCTCTACCCCACTGCTGTACATGTAGCCACTTTTAACAGGGCTCATCACTACGTGTGGAAAGGCACGACTTCCAACGTACCATGGCTATTGCACGACCCCAACTACGTGTTCGGCCACCTCGATGAAGAAATCATGAAAAAATACGGACGGCGTTTGCGACAGGTTTCACCGTACATTGGGAGCCATGACCAACCGGGCGTGTCGCGCACATACGTATTCTGCGATGATGGTCACCAATTCTCCCATGTTGTTTTTCTTGGTACGACCCGACATTTCCAACCCTTGGGCAATCTATTTTCGATTTCAACCACTACTCGTCGAAAACCGAAGTGGCGCCCCTTTGGTCTTCCTGAAATGGTTCGAACTAACACCTGAATATTGGTTGTCTTCAAAAGTTTTTCCCCGGCTGTAAACATACGCGACGATCCAGGAACATATCCCAACTCTTTCAAATTTTCCTCCCCGGGAGCGCCGTCTTCAGAATCATGGCTGTCGACACATGCGCCAAGGAAGGGTGTTTGGCCAAAAGACACCAAAGCGATGACCAGGACCCTTTCATACTGGAGAGCAAAATATTTTTTGATACCGTCCGTTCCTCCGTATTTTAACATGTTGCTCTCTATGCACAATCCATCCCTACCCTATTTCGCCTTGCATGCCCCAGTTGTCTTCACTCAACGCACCGTTCGATCCGTTCTGTTTGTCGTATAATTTTAAGCTACATGCGCCAAGGGTGTTTGGCCAAAAGACACCAAAGCGATGACCAGGACCCTTTCATACTGGAGCAACTGGAGAGCAAAATATTTTTTGATACCGTCCCGTTCCTCCGCATTTTTACTTGTTGCTCTCTACTGTATGCACAATCCACTCCTAACCTATTTCGCCTTGCATGCCCCAGTTGTCTTCACTCAACGCACCGTTCGATCCGTTCTGTTTGTCGTATAATTTTGAGCAATCTAAAGAACCGCTACGTCCGGAAAAAAAAGGGGCTGTGCGTAGTACGTACGTGTTGTGGTCTGCTACGCGATGCGTGCACCACCAGTGCCCCCCCGATAAAACCGATACTTTCAACAGTTTGGACGCCAGGGACACACGCCGAGTTACCCTGAAGAAAAGTGGGGTCACCTCTTTTGGGCGCTCCCTTTCCTAAAGAAGAGCGAGCCTGTGCCCACAGCAAAGAACCAAACATCCCGGCACGGCTGGCGTGCTTGCTGCAGGCTCGATATTGACAGTGTTGGCAGGCCAACTACACACAGCAACAAAACAAGTGGATTGGGTGCTCGTTTTTTTAAGGCAGGGCGAGCTTCTGTCCAGCGAGAACCTCACATGCAGTATCCCGGCACAGTCTGGCGTAACTTGCTGCAGTCTCGATGCAGACAGCAGTACCGGCGTCAGGTGTCTCGCATGTATTAGTCTATGCTACAGACGTGCAGACTATATCTACGATCAGGAAAAATAAAGTAAAACACAGAAAGACCACACGTTACGCGTACTCGTTCGAGATATACCCACAGTCGAATAGAAAACGGGAAGCAATTACGTACAACACAGCACCGCGACAACAACGCACGGAAGAGAAAATGGACAAGTGTGTTGGTGTACTCTTACACAACTCTCATCGTGGTGAAATCTGAAACAAGTCGGAATTTTTGTAACTTGGAGCAACAATCATTCGCCGTGAAAGCGGCGGTTATCAAACATTGCAACAATAAAAAAACTGCCGCAGGCATACAAGACTATGCTGTACGTAGACTTCAGCATGGTTGTCATCCCATGGGAAACGTTAACGTTGGCTCTGGGGCGACAGAAACAGCTAAAGTGCCTTGGGTACGCTTCATCCCATTGTCCATTTTCTCGTCCGCGTTGTTGTCGCCGTGCTGCGTCGTACGTAATTGCTTCCCGTTTCCTATTCGACTGTGGGTACATGTCGAACAGAAAAAATTATCGCATCACTGAAAAACGAACTGCTGCTACTGTGTACGAGCAGGTCGGAATGTACCTGCTCTCGCCAACAGTGATCAGGAGAACCACACACCAACCTACATGCACTAGGGGGAACGGGCTGGTATCGGCCATTGGGGGAGTGGGCGGTGAAATCTCCTGCCGTAGCACATCTCCAGGCTTGCTTTGCTGCTCCTGCCCGTGTTGCTGGTGCTGGATGCTGCCATACTCTCCTCCTCGTCCTTCCTCTGTAGTGCCCACCAAGGCGGTGGAATCACTCCTTTCCACGTCACTGTCATCATCCTGCGGCGGTAGACCAAGCTTCATTTCTAGCGAAAATTCTCAGCAGCGCCGTGGTGGCCAACCTCCCAGTTCGGGGGTTGTGGGCCCTTGAGGGTTATGGTGGTCCTCGTGGTTTGGTGTGCTGTGGCTGGTGTGCCGTGTGGTGTGCGGTGTGTGTTGGTCGGGCGCGCGTGGGCGAAACGAAAGTTGGGCCGCACCAGCTCCATTCTCAGATCAATTTTGCGGGCGAGATTTGCGTGACCGCCCCAAGCGCAGCCGTTGTACAGTATGTACTCCCCAAACCTAAAAACAATTAATTAAATCAAACACCCCCATATATATGTTGATCTATCTGCCGTACAGCAGTAAATCATTGGTTTTTCATCTTCGCTCGAAATAACATGTATGTGCATTGCTTCCCATGATAGACACCCCTGACGTTCGGGTCCCGTGAGGGTTCGAGTCTTTGGAGGCAAGATCACACCGTGCTGTGATGCGGTGGTGAACGCTGTGAGTACGTACTGCTGCATACGCTCGGTACGTAGAGTATGCAGTTGAGTATTTCTGTGTTTCATAAAATATACGCTTACCGAAGAACCAGAAATGAAAAACTTTCGCCGGTGAACACAAGGGTTGGGTGCATCATCGTAACACGGTGCTGATTCTCTCCTCGGAGAAAAGCGAAAGAGTTCTCATTGGGAGGTATTCTGCGTTGTCTACACTTCCTTAGTGAGTCGTATTGCGCGAACATGTATGTGTTTCAAACTGCTCGTTCACTTCTTCTCGGTGATGATCATCAGTGTGAATGGTCGGTCCGAAGACCAAAGCGCATTGGTTTTCGATAATATATGGGACAAGAGATACTGAATGGCACGTACGCGTCTCCACCCCACACGCGCAACTCAGGTTCCTCTCGGACGGGTCCGACATATTACTCTATTCGCGGTCAGGGCTTCCATGGCAAGGCGGATTCCCATCACAAAACGACAAAACGTATGAAAGTGTGAAAATGATTAATCCTGGCGGGAGGGAATGAAGATTAGTTCGCATGCTAGCCCCCCAGCGAAAATTGTATTTAGTCTATTTTCTACTGAGTTCAGGACTGTTTCCATGTGTATTTCAGTTCAAGGGTTACATGTAGCTCTCACATGAAGCCGTCACGGACAGCTTATCAAAAGATGCTTTCACAGGCCAGATCATTTGCTTGAGAAAGGCGTACAAACACATACGGCACCTGAGACGTATCCAAGCGGAAAGAAAATACAACGATATATACCGCTATAGAGCGAGCGCCCCATCCACCCGCCCGAAATGTGCCATACAAGGCTCCACCTACTATGAAACATCAACTTTCACCTATTGTCTTCCAATCCATGCCACGTAGATCGACATGTTTGGTTGGCCAGTCGAGCACCACTGACTTCGAAACGGAGCGTGATATGGTACGTTCAAGCCGCGAAAATGCGCGACTCTTTGCTATTCGATGAATCACAAACCGGTCGACGGGATGAACGTTCTAGGTCGACGCGGTCACGACGAACCCAGTTCCGTGCATCTCTATCATGTCCTACCCGTCCCTTTCTCTGCACCCTCGCTGCTCTAGGTCGCTGAGTGCGACAATGAGAAAGGGATGAGGCGCGCCGCTCAAACACTAACACCAACGACGTTCGCATTTGAATCCGTGCCACGACAGCCGTCTGGCTTCATCAAGTTCTCCGTAGTGAGCGTTCTCCAGGCGAGTGCTGCCACCAAAGCCAGAGCCGCAGCGGACGCGTAGAACACGAAGCGGTGGTCCACCCAGCCACCGAAAGCGTCAAGCGTGGAGGGAGACACAGACCATGCGTATACAATCGCATAGCCGGCCGGACCTATGAAGCGACCAAGGCTTTCCGCCGTGTTGAAAAGCCCGCCGAGCTTCCCCCGCATGTTCGACGGAACCAGAGTGGTTGACCCGATGGACAGTGCCAGGTCGACCTGCTTCGTTTGCGAATGTAGGTGAGATCAAGCGCTCGGAGTTAATCGTATGGACCATTTCGGAGGGGTGGGGCTTCGAAGGATTGCGAAGACTTCTTGAAGGCATGTTCAGGAAACAGAATAATGTTTGGGATAGCTACTCTTGTGCTTGCCGTCAAGAAGAATGTGACAGGTGGAGAGACCTACTCAAGATAGCGGAAGGCATGGTGTACGTAGCTGGCTACATGGCTGTCGGGGATGACCCAGCCTTCGCTAGCACCTGGCTGACCGGATATAACCGGATACGTTAGAGGGTATATTTACCCTTCTGCCAACGCGGGGTTACCTGGTGGTCGCCGTCAAGACCCCTAAGGTATTTTTTCTGGTTTCGTGACTGTCGACCTTTTCAAAACGTTCTCCGTGATTTCGAATACCTCGGAGTTATGTAGTGTTTTGTCTACAATAGAGATGTATCCTGAAAAACAATGAATTGCCTAACGCGCGTCGACAGCTGTTGTCAGGCAGTAGGCTTTAATAGTGTACAAACCGCTTCTCGTCTCAAGGGCGTGGAGAGGGGCCGGCCTGGTAGGAACCACACTACCCGACGAGGTGCTGGACAGAAGCTGCATTCGACATGAACACAACAACAACAACAACAACAACAACAACAACAACAACAACAACAGCAACAGCAACAACAACTCACCGCCCCGCAGCTGCAATTTGCGAGCGTGTTGGCCGCTACGGAAACGCCGACAAGAGAGTTGAAGTTCCAGCTGAAGACATTAACCGCAGGGATAGCCAGGAACGCGGCGATTCCGATCCGGCAGCCTAGCCGTTGCCAGGTCGTGATGCCGACCATTTTGATGAGAGGCGGGAACAAAAGCAGCTGGCAACATGCCATAAGGACGCCCGTCATGACCAACACCTGGCGCACGTCCAACAAGCACAACAGCGAAACACAAGTTGGTACGCGTGGTTGATGCTCGCGAGTGCACGATGCGTTCAGACACGCTCCCTTGAAGAACCTCGACGCTGGACCCTTACCCCACCTACCGCGCCCCCGCCACCGGAGAGCCAGCGACATTTAGTCGACGAAAATATTTTCCCAATGACGGCTTCTAGCGCTCTGATCGGCCTGCGAGAGTTGTCGACGAGCTACGTCAACTGAACTCATATATAGATACATACAAGGGAGTTCGGCCAGGCTGGCGGTCCCGCATGCCATCCCCCTTCATTCTCGCCACTACAACCCGGGTGACCCCAAAGTTAAGGAGCTATGAAACCTACGTTCCGTACTATTGACGTGCCCGCGCACTGGCGTGGATAAGGATGGGTATTGTACATACTATGGTAGATTGACCATCCATCTGGCGTGTCGACGACAAGCTCAAAGGATACACCTCCATCGACGATAAGAACAAACAAGCTAGCGCCGTACCCGTAGAGGTGCACCAGCCGGTTTCTTGGCAACGGAAAAACCTTGCATTGTCTCCCGAGAGCAAGTATCTACGACAGCGTTGTTTTCATCAACGGTGAGCGTTTAGGCAGCAACGAGGTACCGCCCTGGCAATGCACTCAAATCATCTACCGTAGCCAAGCGAGCCCCATGCGTATGCCCCTGCCTGCTCAATTCAAACTCGACAAACTGACATCGACCGTGCACGCCGTGCGTTTTGGGTACATAATACTATTTGCGTCCATCCAAGACAAGAGCGCGAATGCGGCGGGTAGCCTCCACGCGCCTCGGTACACGCCGGCTGCATCGAGAAATCTCTACACACGGGTCAACCGGCCCAACAACCATCGGCGCCCCACTTTCACCTTTCCAATCTCTACGGTGCTCCAGCCGAGCCCTCCGACGTCCGGGGTGCTAAACGCGAACAGCGGGTACACCTCGTCGAAACCGATCGAAACGGTCTGGGGTTTCGTTCGCGGGACAGCACGCGGGAGGATGGGCACAAACGCACGCCCGCGGGACCAAACCCACGATTCCGTGGGCCGGCACGGGAGAGAAAACATGAAGTACGTTAGGCCATTCGTTGGTCCAAGCACGAATACAAGTACTACCTGGTTTGGAGTACCCACTGTAGGTTCAGGGCGGAGCACCAAGGGGTGTGAAACACGGGTAGTTGCCAGAGGGGACATCGTTCAGCAAGCAATTTGGTGGAATATTGAGATGGAGAGCGGGGGGCGGAAGATGCTGAGCGGCGTAGAAACATATTGAAGCACAGATCGGGATGGCCTTGTGCCGCCAGAGTGGGAGTTATCACACATGCCACAGACCAAAGTTGATGGGTCGAACCCTCCTCAACCAGAAGAGCGCCACCGCTGAAAAGGGGAACCTTGGGTAGATCCCGTCTAAATTAGAGCTTTTCCTAGCATGGATCGGTCGGTGTTCGAACCACCTTAGTTGTCAAGCAATGAGTCTTGATGAACACCGCTTGTACGGTACTCGCCGAGACAGAATTTTGCGGGGGACCCTCCCTCGAGGCGTGCAACGCGTGCGCACAGCAGTGGGCTTCGGGAATGGTCACATGCCGAAACTGAACTCCCTTACCGCTTTGCTGGTGGTATTGAGACCACAGTTTTCGATACGCAGCGAGTGGGCTTAACAAGTATAGCTTGTCGAATTCAACACCCACTTGCTCGCCAAGTCAACAAATCCAGGGCACTAACTCACCGAGATGATGCACGTGAGGAAAAGAACCATTTTGACGTGCGGTGTGGCCAGCAACCCGCTTGGTCCGAGCAGCCCGGGCTCGTCTCCCTTCTTGGACACCGAAACCTCGTCGGCAACACCGCTGGTGGTGGTGCGGTACACGATCGATTCGATACAATTGGAATTGGCAAGGGCGGTCGGCGGGTACATGTCACTCTGTATGCACATCGTATGGCGAAGCAACATGCATGTCTGCCTTATGCCCCCGTCGGCGACCCGACACGCCTGTTGAACATCAGACCTCAAATTGGCGCTTGGCCCGCTTGTTCCGCGATTGATAGCCGTACATTTTGTGGCATCCCATGAACTCTGTGCATCCATCCATGTTCAGTGGATGCGTCCCCATTCGGTCCCAGAGAACTGATTGTTGGAGGGGGGACACGCTTATAGTAAATGGCGCACTCGCAAACGGGATACGCGCTGTCAAAACCTTTTGTCTCGTGGAACCGGAGTGTGGCCTAACGTTGTCGCGCTTAACGCCCGTGAGACACTTTTCGCAGTGTGGGTCGAGAACAGATGGTCCCCGGGTTTCCGCCCCAGGTAGTTGAAAACGCCCAAAACCGATAACCCAACTCTTTCATGCCGGGCTTTTGTCGCATGCCGTAATCCTCAGGCACAGCAGCATTTCTGTCAGTGCCGGGGGAAGGGATTTGGTATTCTCCCTCGCACGCGGCAGGATCTCACACCTGTGCTGTTCGACGTAATCCTTTGTCTCTGGGAGGAAGAAAACGATGAGGATGAGGGTGAGAACCGACATCACCGCCCCCATCAGGTTCGGAAGCAGGAACGGAAACCTGAATTTGAGGAGCATGAAGCACGGATGATGGAGCGTGTACTTGTATCATGTTGATGGGAAGGGGGAGGGGGGGGGGGGCGTACTCTTATGTTTTACTGGCAATAGCGGTTAGACCATTGACCACGCGTCCTCGAGAGGACGAAGCATTGTTCCCACAGGACCGATCACCGATGGCCAATCGTTCGTTCCTTCCTACTTCGCCAAAGGTGGATCAAAAATGTCGTCCCTGGTCTATCTATCCTATCGATATCACTTCCCGTCTTTTCAACCCACTTCCTATGCCGCAGTACAGCTATCGTCTTCTCTCGGCTATTCCATGCATCAAACATCGCACTAGATCTTCCTTTACTTTTCCCAGCTCAGGCATGTACACTTCCCCCTGCTTGTACAATGAACATTGCGCAAATACATGAACACGGTCTTCGCACTCGGAGCCGCACTCGCATCGAACTTGCCGTCTTCATCGTGTTTATAGATCCACTTCAGGCAAAAACACCCCCTCCCCCCTCCACCGCCCGATCCATTTTGGATCACACGCCGGAGAGTTTCGGGATGTCTTTGCTCTAAGTCTTCCACCGCCCAATGGACAATAACCTTGGGTAAAATTATGTTTACTTCGGACTTTTTCCTCCTCTTCGTCTGGGGGGGCGAGAGGGGGGGGGGGTCGCATGTGGGGCATGGCCTCTACTTTTCAGGGGGGGTTCGGGTACGGGTTGGGGATAGGATCTAGGTGCAACGCAATCTCGAATGTTCGCCTTACCATGCTACTTGTGGGGTTTCAGTTTTGCAGCAATCTCTACTCAATGCGTCCATGTGTCCGGCAATCTCAGACGTCAGTCAACCCATGAGGTTTCAGTACGAAGCTATCCTCACTCAACGCTTCTATGTGTCCGGCATTCTCAAACACTGATCCACCTGTGAGGTTTCAGTACGCAGCTATCCTCACTCATTGGGTCTCTACAATGTATGTATGTATGTGTCCGGCAATCTGAAACATCGATCCACCTGTGAGGTTTCAGTATGCAGCTATCCTCACGCGTCTATGGAGTGATGGGAGGGGGGGGAGTCGTGGAAGAAACCGCGTGCACCCACACTCAGAATTCCTCTAAAGGCTGTAGAGGTAGGCTGTATTCGCCCCTCAATGAGTGGCAAGACACAGCGCCAAGAAAAAAAGGGGAAGCGAGGGAGAGACGGCGAAAGGAAAGGATAGATAACTTTTTTTCACCGACTAAGAGGCAGCAGCCCGAGGGGACGCACAGCAAAGAGGACGGGGTAGGAGGGACCGAAAGCGCGCGTCAGGGAAAGCTACACCAGAACGATGATTCATGCATGATTGTCGGAGAATGCTGAAACCACCGCGCTCACCTGCCGAACAGGCCGGTTGCGGAAAAAAAGCCCGGGTAGTGCAGAGCTGGTTGCGCCAAGAGGCCGCCGATTCCCGTGCCAAAAATCAAGCTGATGGCCGTAGCAGCTGCAGAACAGCATTCAGAGTAACCCAGGTGTTTCGCGGGGCCGAGGGGGGCATGGCGTGGGACACGGCAAGCACGTGAAAAGTGCGGTAGGCTTGCTAAGACGAGGCTGGGAATCTGTCGCAACATGCTTGTACTCGATTCGAGGGGAGTCGTTTCTGCTCGCTTCGCGAGGACGATGCTCCAAATCTGACCGTGCAGATCAGAGCCAAAGTGAAAGAACTGCTTGTCGCTTGTACGAACTAGGCAGCATGCTAGCAAAATATTCAAACGACGGCACGGACGACCCATGAAAATATTCTCCGATGAGTAAGAAAAGGTGTAAGCCCGTTTGTTTCGACGTACGATGGAAGAAGCTCACTCAGCAAGCGTCGTCGGAAAGACTAGTCGGGCCGGAAACAAAGCAAATACCTGATGACCACCATCACCACAGCACGGGGAGGCTACCGTAGGTCGTGCCAGGGATAGATCGATAACAACAAGAAAATTGTGTCGGCGAGGCTAAGCCCGCCTCGGGTAGCATACCTAAAAAAAAAAGAGACACAAATGTGCTCACCGCTAGTGTAGGTCATCCCTGTTGTACGAGCAGCAGTCAGCGGGCGGGGGAGGCAAGAATCGGGTCAGCCTCTCACTGCAAGGTACCGAGCGATTTGACCGAACCATTGTTGCCGACCGGTTGGAAATGCGAACAAAAGTGGGCAACTTGTGTGCAGGGTTTACGGGCTGGCCCACAGGGCACCCACGTCGGGAAAAAAACAATAGAACGCTACGCGTGAGGGACACAACTGATTGGAGAGACCAAAAGATCCCTGTACGGGACCAGGCGACACTCGTGTGATTTGATTGCAGATGTTGCGTCGAAGAGTCACATGGGGCGAATGGGGCCCTTCAGCTACGGAGGGAGAACCGACGCACCTCGGACGACGTGCTTCTTCCCGCAAACCTCGCTCAGCGTGGTTCGGAGGGCGGGCATGATGCCGTTTGTCAGCCCGAGAACCAACCTGCGTTTCGATTTTAATGCAGACCCGTTTGAGATGCAAAGGTACAAATTTGCCAAGCACGTGTGACTCAATTCACGGTTGGTAAGTATGGACTCGCGATAGTCTTGTTAGATTATGGCGATGATGATGCCGCTGCCGATCAGGTCGCAGGCTGCTTGACACGTTCGTACGATACATTTCGTCGAGCAGTCGGGGAAGGAACCAAGCAGCAAGAACATTGTGTGTGAACCAGAAATACAGCAGTGTCGGCCCGCCCTAGGGAACACCTATTTTGAGCGAGGCTCCATCCGTATTTTGTCCCCACCACTGAGCAAAGGCTTCTACTTCTACATTGGAATTGATGTAGCGCCTACTTTTCCCACACCACCGAGCAAAGGCTTCAATATAGGAAATGACGTGGCGCCGGTCGCTACGCTCAATTTCGTAGAGCCTAAACAGGTTTATTTCGAACCTAAAAATTACGAGCGGGTGAGCACTGTATGTGATCAACGCGCGATACCAGAGGAACTGCCCGGAAAGGGATTTATGGAAGACGAGCGCAGCCATCCTCCCGGGGGGCACCGCAAGAAAGGAGGGGAAGAGTGTATGCGTCCACAAGGCATCGTGGGCAAGAGCCACGCGAGTGAATCAGGAGTGGAAGGCCTAGCGCGATCACAACATGACGTGGACTGATCACGCGCCAGCGGGTCTTTTCTCACTGGGAATCGCCGATGCCCGGTCTCAGAAGGAAAATGAACGGTTGGATGAGGATGAACAACTTCCCCAAAGAGAAAGCAAGACAAAGAACCCCCAACCGTGAGGTGACCCTAGAGAAGAGGAGGGGAAGGCTGAAAACCAAGGCGGGCAAACATTCGCGGGGTTAGCTCATTGAACGCTCCTGATTCCTGGTCAGGTTCTCGCGAGGAGGGGGGGAGCTAGCAATGTATTATGGGAATCGGCTACTTGTGCGACCTCTCATCGAAACGTGCGCCCTCCGACATCCGGTGGTGCGGATGATTGTTAGCGTGAGTGGGGCTAGTACTTCCTACGCACCCACCACATGCGACACACACACCTATCTGAAACGGGAGGAGTTTGTAGGGTTAGGGTTAGGGTTATGCTCGCCCCTAAAAATGGACTCCAAAACGGACAACATTGGCTTCAGGAACGGGAGTGAGAGAGGACATGTACTACGCAGCTGTGGTAGCCCTTTTCACCGTGAAAGCGTGCATGAGCATGCTGTTCGTGCTCGTGCTGCCGAGAAGCCGACAAGAGTTACGAAAAAGAAAAAAGGCAATGGATGAGGGAAGTGGAGAATCTAAAAACAGGTGGAGCGGCAACCACATTTTCAACGCGTGCTTCACACCGACCACGACCACATCCATGACTGCTACACGGCGACGAAGACAGGCTTGTCGATGTTCCACAACAAGCCAGAGAGACAATTCCCAGAACTCTTGTCGCCGGATTGAAAGATCGCCAACGAACCTCGTTGTAATGGCCATAGTGTAGCTCCTGGATATCCCGAAGAGCACGGAGAAGGTAATCATCGACAGCAGGCCCATGATGATCACCGGTTTCCTCCCGAGGCGGTCGGTGACGAAGCCCCAGAAATAGCCACTCAAGAACCGCCCGAACGTGAAAGAGCTCGCCACGTAGCCGGCGTAGAAACCTGGGATTTGGCGGGACACGTCGAGCGTTGTCATCGTGAAAGACAAAGGGAAGGTGCAGCACTACCGCTGACGGGTAGAAATGGAAGAAATGGGTAGCGATGTGTAGATCGAGAGAGGCGGAGGGCAAAATGCGAGTTATTCCTGTCGCGGGGTCTAGATCCGCCGAACGCCAAGTGGGCCCGTTGTAAGTGACGAGCTGAGTCAAGCTTGCGTATCGGCTTCGGTGGGGAGCCAAAACGACAATAACAACAACAACAACAACAACAGCTACGACAACAACAACTGCTACTTGTAGACGAGATGGCGACGACAGCGGCCGTCGTCAACAATGTCTGGAACAGTATCACGAGAGGTGTGAGCAAAAAAAGACTAGCGGCACCAAATGTAGCCTGAAAGCTACCTGTACCTGCTTTCGTCTGTGTCGCTCGCGTGACGGTAACCGTACCCACGTGCGCGCCTTCGAAATCTTGGCCTTCCGGCGGCTCGTGTAACCTACTCCTTCTGCAGGCCTACAGCCACGCTCCCTCGGCTCTCCTTCTTCTAGTGCATGCGCATTCTTATTCTCCCCCCGCTGCTGCCTCACTCACCGACTTCGTTCGTGTCCAGCGAGAGGAGATGCTTCACCATCGTCCCACTGTAGGGAAAGAGATTCACCAGCATGTAGATGTTCATCGTCATGCCGAGGCCGATCAGACAGACCTGCTCGGGGGAGGAGGATAAAAAGAGCACCTCGGCCGTTAGCTAGGTTGCCCTCTCGAGAGCGAGAGCGGAAGCTTCGTAAGAGGGGTGATGGTGAGGAGTCTTGCAGCCAAAAGGCAAAAGAGGTGGTAAGCACGTCACACCTCGGAACGAACCCGAACATGTTGCGAGAAAACGTTGCATGAAAGGGACCAAAAAAGCCACTTCAGCTACAGCAGTATAGGTCCCTGTCTAGTGCCGCTATGTGCCCAGAAAATTATCCGGCACTATACCGGACCGGCACTATTGAAAGCATTGTGAAGGACTTGGAAGTTCACTGTGTGCCCGCCTAAAAACACCGGTCCTACACCCGGCACCGGTACTATTCAACCGGGGCACTAAACAGGGACCTCTACCGTGTCGTGTTCACCCTCTGAAGCACCTTCTGCGGTGCCCGACTGTCGGGCGTTGGGGGGGCGGGGGGTGCTTTGGTGTCCTTTCCCTTAGTCACATTTGGTTGTTGGCGTCCCTTGAGGCCGGCGACCTTTCATACCCACAAAAAAGGCATGTCCACGTACGCAAATCATCGCATATCTTGCCTACAAATATGACGTGCTTTCATGGCTGATAGTTGTCACCGTTCCAGCCGTGTCGCCAGGCCTCGCTTCCGCAACCCGGTCCACTTTCTCCAACACAAACCTCATCAACCTCCATTTTTGTATGTTTCACTTGGTTCAAATGAGTGCTTGTCCTTCCTTCCCGACAACTTCGTGTTCCCCAACTTTGTGAATGTCACTCGCTGGGTTGGCACATGCATGTGTTTTTGCGCCGTCTTGCTCCGCTGGCTATTATTATAGCATAGTGGATATGCTGTCCATCTAACAATAGTACAACCAGGGTTCTTCAACTCGTTTTGAGCTGTTGGACCTCGGTATCAACCCCAGGGTTGTATTCCTTGAATCAGTGCTGCCCCCGTACGGTTCATCGGCTTACAGGCGGGGGGGGAATATTCAGGCCCACCATTGGTAACTGCCTACTTCCTTCATGGCAAATCCAAGTGCCTTACCCGAAAGACGCGGATCAAACAAACGTTTTCATGAATGCATGGCCACCTCGGCATGAACGCAACCGTGTGGCCACTGACTTTCGTAGGCCGGGTGATGCAGCGTTCCCCTCTTCATGGGCATCGGTATGTGTGGTTACGGCCATGCCGCACCGCCGAAAAAAAGATGAGGGGTCAAAATATTCGTTGAACATTGGAAACACGCCGCATTCTGGCAAAATAGCAGGCCAGCGACGACGGGATTAGGATGGGTCTTGTCCTCGCAGTTTTCCATCGAAAATCGAAAATCGAAAATCCCACTGATTGGACAACTGACCCTTGTCCCGCCGCCGGATTTTCGATTTGGAAGACTACAGTACTGTTCCGAAACCTTTTAATAGATACGGAAAACTCAAAACGAAACAAACCGACTCCGGAGGAATGAGGCGAGGACCGAAGACCCCTGCGAGGTCCCTGTTTCGTGCCGGTATCTGCCCAGAAAATTGACCGGCACTACAGTATACCGGATACAGGCATATTTGATTCAAGTGCAGAATAACTATACGGCGATCCAGTCTGTACCAGCCGAACACACTGGCAATGTACCGGACACCGGCCTTTTTAACTGGCATGTAAACAATGACCTCTACTGTTGCACCCATCTCCGCGCGCAGCGCTGAAAGGGTGGTATCGTATCCATAGTCGGGTCTTGGCTGTTCAACCATGCATTCGTAAGACACTCAGCTCAGACTGCTGTACCTGTCCTACAATAGTGTGTGTAACAACGGTTATACATAGACTTCTCCAGCAGTGCCCCTGTTCCTCCGCACTATTCCCTTCTTAGAAAACGTTATTGTAGGCTATGGGGTGCACAGACCGCAAGACAATCAGTGATAACTGTTTCGCTGCCGCGTCTCGGTGATCTTTGTTGTGAGAAGATGTGGCGGGGAGAAGAAGGAGAACGATTCAATATGGACGGTGTCTGAAATGTAGTTGGTGACGTACTGCCGTACCTCTCGCATCGGGAACTGGCCCGTCACCCTTCTTTTTTCGGTGTCCCGCCAGTCTTCTTCCTGCTTCTTCTGGTGCCTCCGCCGCTGCTGCTGCTGCTGCTGCTGCTGCTGCCTCTGGGTGCTGCCGTACTTTCCTCTGTTGGGCCCTCCTAACAGGCTGGTAGACTCACTCGTCTCCATCTCCGTCACCGCGTCATTGCCACTGGTCATGTTGAGTGTTGAGTGTGTGCTTGAGGCCGGGTGCGATCGATCCTTTTTTGTACGAAAAGCAGCAGATCATTTGGCTGGCGGAGTTGTCACAGCTACTAAATACTGCTGTAGTGAGGTGCGCACAGAATGCCAAATTTATACTGGTTTACATGCGCGTAGGCGCAGCACGCCTATCATTGCGTGCACAACAATGCATGGTGTGCAGTTTGATTGATGGAAAGGGTGACAAGGAGGGATCGGGTGACAGGGCAGGCGCCCTTCACGCATTGCACGAACCAGGGGGTGCGCACCCCGAATCAGCGTCTTTTCCTTCTCGTTCTCATGGCGCCTGCCTTCACGCTTTTTTTTTTCCTCTCGGTACAACGGGTGTGACGGCGGGTCAATTGGAGGTTGAAAATTGGAGTACATGTGATTCCCTACAACAGCAGTTCCTCCCTGTCTACCGTAGGTATTCGAGAGGTGCTGCGAGGGCACATCATCAGCTCTGCCTTTCGTCAATATAGTGCTGGGTTAGCACGTCAAAAAAAGCGCTCGGTGAAAGTAATATAACTGGGACACCGGTGGGGGACACTCTGGAAAACATTCTTTGCATACCGGCGGGCGTAATCTCCTTCCTCGCTGTTTCTAAGCTCTCCCTGCTGTGCGCTCGTCATCGACACTCAGTGTGGGTTACGTTGCGAAAAATCGGACACACAGAGACCAGAAGGGTCTCTGCGGGTTACAGCGCCCAGCGCGCCCGGCTGATGTGTGTGTGTGTGTGTGTTGCGGCTTGGCTCGAATGCTGCGCAAAGGCGGCGTAATTAAATAGTCTAATTGCCAAATTAAGAAATTAAGGAATAATGCCAAATTACGAATTACGAAATGAAATAAGGAATAATAAAAATACACACAGAAAGACTACCCATTCGAGATATACCCACAGTCGAACGGGATGTGGTGGAGTCTTTTCAGTGAGTGAAGGGAAACCGGCTGGGTACTGGACTTATTTCTTATTTCGAGTCTTTTAAAGTCTATACACTGATGATATACCAGTTATTAATTAGACGCCCCTCGCCAAGTTTAATTGAGACAGCTGATTGGCGGACGCCAAGTAATGAATCTGTCCCCGGCCGGTTGCTTTTTTCTTTTTTGCGCTGCTGCCGTTTGCCTCCGGGTGGCCAAGAACTGCCGCGACATGTACCACTCACTGAAAAGGCTCTAGCACATCCCTTCCGACTGGCTGTGGTTACAGTTAATGGTACCCGTCTGTGCTTCTATATTTTCTCAATGTGCAAAATAATAGCCCCCGCCTCCCTCCCGCACAACTCTGATGATGATGGCACGCGGCTGGGGGCTGATCAAGGTACCCTCGGCTGTGTGCCCCCCATGGCTGGTTTTGCTCGGGGTGCTGCTCGGACACGCACCACGTACCCCACAGACGTCATGGAGGGAGAGGGGAATCCGGCCAGGTACCGGCGAGGGTCCTGCTGTATGAGGAGATCACGATCATGGGGTTTGGTAGCAGTAGCAACAGCAGCAGCAGCGGTAGCGGCACCAGGAGCTTCTGCTTTCTTGATCCCAAGAGCCGCCTGTAATACACGGGATGCATCAAGAGGAGGAGGGGGAGGCACGGCCGGAGCAAGCAGTAGCAGCAGAAGCACCACCACCACCACCACCACCAGCGGTGATCCTGCCCGGTTGGCGCCGTCGTCGCAACCAAGATGTTCAGGGCTAACGCTCGGAGGTAGCGGCGATGCCCGTCGGCGTCAGCAGCAGAGTCGTGGTGACCTGGTGAGGATGCTGGCTAAGGCGACGGCAAGCAGGGAGGAGACCGAGACCGACGTCTCGCTCATCCGAAATTTCTCGATCGTGGCGCACATCGACCACGGCAAGAGTACGCTGGCGGACAGGTACTGCTGGGTGCACGCGTAGTTGCGTTTGATGGCATTGAGTATCACTTCCATATGTATGTTGCTTCTGTAACGTACGTTCGCTTACAGCAGTTCACACGACACGCACGATGACATGTTTTTGCATGTTTCCGAACGTGGGTCAGTCACCTTCGTTTTACGCGTTACTGGGTGTCTGGTGTGAAAAAACACCATATAGACAAGCGCACCTGCTACATGAGATATATTTTAACGACAGACAGATATACTACATACCCACCGCTGCTGCTGACAACAGCAGTTTGGAACAACGCGGTTCAATTTTAAAATATCCCTGGACACCGTGCATCATCGCTGTCATTGGATACATCGTGCTTGTAAGGTACCAGTATTGAAGAAAAATAAAAAACACACACAGAAAGACTACCCATTCGAGATAAACCCATTCGAGATAACCCACAGCAGTCGAACGGGATGTGGTGGAGTCTTTCCAGTGAGTGGAGGAAAACCGGCTGGGTACTGGACTTATTTCGAGTCTTTTAAAGTCTCTATACACTGATGATTTATATCAGTGATGACAGCTGGTGCTCAACAAAAACATCTAAAGGTAACTTACATTTTACAAAACATCCCCTGTAGTTCTCTACTGGGTCAACGACAAAATATCGGGGAGAATCCCTCCGTTGTGTCGTGTATTGTAAAATGTAACCTTCACAGGGGACACGGCGCAGTGTCTATTGACAGCTTGCTGGTTTGTTAGATATTAGGAATAATATTGTAAAAATCATGGAAGATGGAACGAAGTCTACAGCAGTACATCACTCGTTTTTTCAAATCTACAGATTTTTTAAGTTCACGGGCAGCAGTTGTTTCCCGCCGTTTTTTGAATTTACAAAACGTATTTGATCCTTTGGGGTAACGTATGTAAGAGTAACTGGAGAACTCGAGTGAGAGCGCGCTTTGAGTGTCCAACTCCTGTCTTGAGTATCGCGACGCAGTTCCCAAGATAGAAAAGGAAGCAGTAGTACTCGCTACGCTAGCGCAGCGGCAACGTCAGCGTACACACTCAGTAGCACGGACGGGAAAGTTGCTGCTATTTGACTTGCGCGGCCTGGAGTCTTGCCGACATCGGCCCCGACACGCCGACCCATTTGTCTGCGGCCGTGCTACTGCTGTCTATACATGGGGGCTTGGTTAAACAAAAACAATAACGTCTGCTGATAAACTCCGGTCTGGTAATAGCGAAAATGTTCGTGGTGAGCTACATGCGCAACTTAAAATATGCTGTGTGTACAACCACCGAAAACTACGGCGAGATAACGGCTTGAACTACGGAGTACACGCACGCCGCGTTGTTCGCAGCATTTTGTTTTCAGCGCATCCCTTGGTCAAGACGACACCTACGTTAGTCACACACTTTGCGACCGCTGTATTTTCGCCAATTCCGCCGGTTCGTGGTGTGGTCGACGCCAGCGAAGACCCAGACAGCCGACCACACACATTTGCTGTGTTCCCGGCTCCTTCGAGCAAAACACTGCGTGCACCCTTTTGCCCGTGGCAATTCGAATGGAAGCCTTTTTTCGTGCAGTCTACTGCCCCATGAGTTGGTCTAGGTCTTTTGCAATCCCTGCGACAGCAGTTCCGCTATCTTACAATCGCACAGCGCGATGATCTGCTGTGCCCCCTTCCCCCCTCTTCATTCGGTGTCTCGTATACGAGACATCTTGTCGGCTGGAAACTGCGCGTGGAACGCGCCATGCACCCCCGCCCCCCGCCGCCATCCCACGAGGAAACATGATGGAAGAATGTGTGCCGAATCCCAGACCTAGAGCCTTGAGTCCTGTAGGGTGCAGTTGATTCTATCTTCCCCCTCCCGTGAGGTGTAATGTTCATTTTTCCATCCGGAGCCAAGCAAGGCTTTTTTTCTCCCTCCCCGTCTCCACCTTCTCCTCCTGCCACCCCTCGTCCTGTGTGTCCTTCCTCAATGAAACCGAATCTTGGCGCGCTCCCCATCCATCAGGTTGCTGGAGTACTGCGACGCGGTGGCGAAGCGGGAGATGAAGAAGCAGCTGCTGGACAGCATGGACCTGGAGCGGGAGAGGGGCATCACCATCAAGCTCAACGCTGCGAGGATAGAGTACCCCGCGGAAGACGGGAAGACGTACGTCCTCAACCTCATCGACACGCCTGGGCACGTCGACTTCTCCTACGAGGTGAGTGCGACAGCACGTTTTTTGCGTTGTTCCACAATGTGAAGCCCGTTTGATTGCTTCCCCCTCTCACCACGAGATTGGTTCCCTGGTTGGGTGAAACAATTATCACGGAGGAAGAGATAACTAGTGTTCGGAAAAAACAGGGACGGCTTGCCTGCAGTAACCAAAAGCAATTAACAACAACAACAACAACAACAACAACAACAACACGACACCAATAGGTATCCCGGTCGCTGGCGGCGTGCGAGGGCGCCCTACTCGTGGTGGACGCGTCTCAGGGGGTGGAGGCGCAGACCCTGGCCAACGTCTACCTCGCCCTGGAGAACGACCTCGAGATCATCACGGTGCTCAACAAGATAGACCTGCCCGCCGCGGACCCCTACCGCATCGCCGAAGAGGTGGGAGATACGCCGCGTTTTTCTTGCCTCATTGGGTGATGGGAGCGCCTCTAGAGGGGAAGAAGAACGTACACCGGGTCGTGGTTGATTTGCTCCGTAGGACTGAGGTTGGAAAGGGACCAGTTCTTGAAAACCTTTTGTGATCAACTCTTCTGTACGTACATACAGGCCTGTCAACGTGTTGTTGTTGTTGACGAAGAAGATGGCAGCCTACCAGCGGGACGTGACAACGAACCGAAAAAATTGGGACTCCCGACGGGTGGCGGAGATGCGTGCTCCTATTGGTTGACGCCAGCCGGCCAATTGAACGACTTCAGCCTCACCCGGATATTGCATGGGGGGGGAGGTACTGATGTTTTTGCATACCTTAGCGGTTCAGATCATTGACCACGCGTCCTCGAGAGGACGGAACGGTGAGGGGTGGAGACTTGCTAACCAACACGACCCAACGACAATGTATCAGGTGGAAGCGACGATTGGTCTGGACTGCACCGAGGCCATCCCGGCGTCCGCGAAGACGGGGGTAGGCATTCAGGAGATCCTCGAGGTGACCGACTGACCGACTGAATAACAGCTACCGCTACACCCTTGCTGGTGTATTGCACGTCGCATCTGTACTATCGATGGCATCTACAGGGTGTCGGTGCATACTGATAGTTGTCAACTTTTGTCGTTCAAGAAACAGCAAGAGGGGGGGGGACGACTCCGAACGTGAACGTTTGTGTACCTTCCCGGAAGGCATTGATGCAGCAGGCGCTGGTGCGGCACGACGATACGATAGCAGATTGCGCCCAGGGGGAGAACAAAATTCTTCAAGCAAGGCACTTGAGATGCACATGACGCCGTCATCGTGCATCATATCGAGAAGTTGGTATTTCGCTAGCGGGAACGATTCAGCGGAGCGGAGAGAAAGAGAGAGGCGAGGCCTACGACCGGGGGGTGATTGGTTTGTCGCCTACCCCAAAGCTGCGTGATGAGACTCACGCACGTGTGCTTTGAAGCAAGTTTTTTTTGTTCGTGTGTTCGGTAGGCAAGATTTGCGTTGTGCACCAGTCCTTCATTGTTCGAGGGGAACATGCATACAACTGAAAACGCAACCCGACCCTGTCGGGCGTGCGGGCTCGACTTTCTGCTACCATTGCCCGTGTCGTCGGTTGATTGCGCTACAAAAATCCTTCCCATTCTTGCGCATGTATTTGGATTTCGACTTTTTGTCTTCTGTTTTTTTACCATTTTTTTTTCGCTCCATTCTCACCGTCGGTCGCTGCTACGTATCAGGGACAGGGAGGGCATCCGAAGCGTCCACCGGTTTGTTCTTACTTTTACGACTTTGCATCCAGCAAAGAGCCTAACCTATTGAACCCGTACACACAGCAGTAATCACCCAGCGTTTTATCTACATGACTGTGCGCGACACTGCCTCTACCCCGTACCCCGCTACTCGTGCCGGTGTTTTTCTCTCCTCGCCGGTAGGCTCCTGACACACCTGCTCGTTGTCGTTGTTGTGGCCTCTCTCCCCCCCGCGCTGGTGCTTGTCTTCGTCCCACGTGCTACCCAAAAAAAAAAAAAAACAGGCGGTGGTGAAAAACGTCCCGCCGCCCCCGGGTCCCACGGGGGGACCCCTTAGGGCGCTCATCTACGACTCTGTCTACGACGAGTACAAGGTGTGTAATTGTACTTGTACTTGTACCGTTTTTTTGTGTGTGTGTGTGAGTGTATGTCTTGATCATTCGCGTCGACCGCGCTATTGTTTCTGGCTGCCCAATGAAAAGGCGTCAGTCTCGGTGCGGCGGAAAAAAGAAAGTGCTTCTTCGTGTGCGTGGCTTGATGGTGTGTGTGCTTGAGCTTGCCGTGTTTCTTGCCGCGGTCCTCTGTTCTACAGTTTCTTGTGTGGATAACCATAGCTCCACCAGCAGCAGCAAGCGTTAGTGCCCTTGTTCTTTGCGACGGCTACCTTACGATGTGTGGTAGGATGCGTGTGCCCTGGCGTGTGATATTTTGTGTGTACAGCTCTCTTCTTCTTGTCGTTGTGGTGGATTGGTACTGTACGCGGGGGATTATGGGTGCTAAACACCCTCTTGTGTGCAAATGATGCATCGTGAAGGTGTCACAACGCCGAAAACAGTAACAACGGGAGATGAGGCTGTCCGTGTCGTGTCTCTTGCGTTCGATTGTCGAGAGGGGAACACGTACCTGTGCGACTGGATAGGATCTCACGGACAAGCACCACCGTTTGCTACTGCAGTAGCTACGCACGGCGTTTGCGCCAGCCGCCGCTGTGTGCGTTAGTTTTCCCTTCTTCCTCACGCGGCGAGAGTCGTGGTATCATACGTGCTGGTGTGCTTCTTCTTGTTTTACCTGGCTTCGATCCTCACTGCGTTTTGCCCCCGTCTTGTCGTTCTCAGGGATACCCCACGTTCCGCACATGCATAGCATGTGTACGCGTGTGCGCGTGTCTTTGCGACCGCGCTAGCCGGCTGACCAATGGAAAGTCTCAGTGCGGCGGGTGCAACAATATGTGCGGTTGTGTGTGTGTTGCTTGTTTTTCCCGCAGGGTGTGATCGTGTACTTCCGCATCGTAGACGGTGAGATCCGAAGGGGGGACAAGATCAAGTTCATGGCCAACGGGGTCGAGCGCGAGGTGAACAAACGACTGGAAGGATATGGCCCCTGAACCTTCTTGTTATACTCCCTCTTTCCCGTGGTTGTATAAATTTTTTTCTCCTGTGTTTGGCGTGTTTTTTCGTCGTTGGCGACGACACGAAAAACGGAAGACGTGGGAAAATCATACGAAAAATAACATTTTCTTCCATCCTATGCATGTGCCAGTACCACGTTTTCGTAGCTTTTGTGTCACGAGCGCACAAAAGAAGTAGCAAAGACCTCAAACTGTCCCCCGTCCGCCCAGTCTTATTTTGTGTGTGCGCCTCGCTTTGAAGCTGCAACAGTATTGTCCCTCGTGTTGTTTACTTTCGCTAGATTGTTGGTCTTCGATCTTGTGCTCGCTCTCTCACAAGAAGAACATTGTGCTGCTGGCGGTTGCGTGCTTTTTTTTTGGTTGCTCTCGGATAGTGATAAAAGTATTACCTTTTTCGCTCATGCCACTCCCACTACTAGATTTGCGTTCTTGTTGGTTCGGAAATGGTTGCATTATTCCTTGTCTCCACTGCTCTATGTATACCACTTTCTGTTGTACGTGTGTGTGTGTGTGTTTTGTATGTTTTGTTGTATGCTATATACAAGGTGATCGAGGTCGGGGTGCGAAAACCCGGGGCGTACGAGATGGAGCGACTGGGGACGGGCGAGGTGGGCTACATGGTCTGCGGGGTTAAGAACGTCCTGGACGCTCGCGTGGGGGACACCATCACCAGCGCCAAAGAACGTGAGACCAGATCCGCCCGTCGTTTCCTTTTTCGAAAATCTTGTGGTACAGTACCTTGTAAAAATCGTATTGTCTTGTCGCCGTCGCTGTTACTTCGTGAGAGAGTGATGTTTCGTTCCATGTTTTGGTGCCATTTCGTGCGACCGTGTGATTTTGCTCTGGCTGGGATTTCTGTAAAAGGATGGTGTTGCATTGATTGTTTTGGTACCTTTAGTTCAACCGTGTGTTTTTCGTGTGGCTTGGTTTCCGTTGTGGAAGCCCCACGGTACGGTTTTTCTCGTCGAATCACACGAGAAGCGCGACAATGAACCATGGTAATCCCGCCCCCCTTCTTCGCGCATTACTTGTTGTGTTGCGTTTTTTTTTTTTTCTCAAGCGTCGGAGGAACCGTTGGACGGATACGAGGAGGCGAAACCCATGGTGTTCTGCGGGCTGTATCCCACTGACGCGGAGGATTACGAAGTGAGTCAACCAGCCAGCCAATCAGAATCACTCAGGTCGTGGCAACGAGGACGCGGATGCCTATCTCTTGCTCGCCAAGCGTGGGCGATAAGAGCGTTGTTTTGCTTTGCTCGTGCATGGATGCGGACGCGATGGAGCTCGCGCAGGCCTCGTCCCGCCGTTATTTCCTTGATAGTTTTTAGGCGCAAACCTCCTTATTCCTTTTCGGGAGGGCCGACGCCACATTACGTGGTCGCCATCCAGGCTGCAGGGGGGGGGGGGGGGGGGGGGCCCCCAATCCCCCCCCCGGGGGGTTCCTTGGGGGGTCCGGGGGGGGGGGACCCCCCCCCCCGCCCAAAAAAGGAAAAATTTTATTTGGGACC